TTAACTTTCATTGTTTCCACCTGACTCCACCTGCATGGAGTCAGTCTCAGTCCCAGCCAGCCTCCAGTGCCAGAACGTCTCGAGCCACCCGGTAAGAACTTCCAGCGATTTCCAAGTATTCTGCCTGCCTGTTACCCGACCTGTCTCTGCCCTTGATTACCGAGCCTGCCTGATCCCCGTCTGATTTGTCTGCCTGCCTGATCCTGACTGCCTGCCCGTGTTGCCGACCCTGCCTGCCCGTGACCACGAACCTGCCCGCCCCGCTTGGACTGCCGCTATTGGATCTGACTTTGGACTGGACCTGGACCTCTTTTGGATTACCCCTGGTACCTTTGCTGGATCATTGGCTTTCCTGTTACCGGACCCGGATTCCCCTGACCACGCCCCCGGATTTCCCCGCAATAAACACTGCTTAAACTGACTGTCCGTCTCTGGGTGTCTTTGGGTCCAATTCAGTTTGTAACAGTTATACAGAGAATACGTGGTGAAACTGATCATTAATAGTGCTTTTCCACTCGTGCCTACTCAGCGCTGCATGGCACCACTAAACAGTTACAACTTCAGCACTTGGTTGGGTTGCATCAGGGATGAGTAGGGCCATTGGCAGACTACCGAGTGCTTATTGGCCAAGGAGTCCTGTGCACACCACCCATTTTTAAATACTCAACAATAACAAATGTCTGCTTTTATAAGTAAACACACAAAATGCATATAAATGATGTCATATACCAGTCAACCGCTCTTTCTGTTCGGCCATAATTTGTAATGAAAAGCCACAAATACCGTGTAGAGCTGTGTTAATGGAAAATCACCATGAGTCAAACTTCAAGCTTGTCTTAAAGACATAAAAATAACCTAGATGACTCTCAATTACCTACTTCTGAATTTAGACAATACTGAAGTTTTCGTCTTTGGATCGAAAAATGTCAGTGAGGAACGTTTTAGTTAATCTGCTACTCTAGATAGCATTTCTTTGGCCTTTTGTACAGTGAGTTATTAAGTTATTTTTGACCTGACTGATTTGACTTTCAGGATCATCCCAACTCAGGGTGATGCAGAAAAACTGGTCCATGCATTTGTTTGGTCAAAGTTATACGACTGTTATTTTTTGTTATTGGGTTGTCCCAAAAATGTCTAAAAGGCAACCATCTGGTCCGAAATGCTACAGCCAGAGTTTTCAAGAAATTACAAGTTACAAGCCATGGTGCACCATTCCTCACTTTGTTTCTCATTTTAGCCCTTTCTTCTTCAGTGTGAGACGTTTTCGTATTGACTTTTGTTCCTCCTTCTCTTCTGAAGCCCCTCAGCTGATAATTATGGTGTTTGTTGACGCTCTTTACTATCCTCTCGAACACCAGTTGGTCATGGTAGATCAACTCCATTCCTAAATCTGATACAGCCAGAGGATTCTTCTTGTTAAAAGCGAGTTGCTTCTTTCCACAGTCACTTCATGTACTAAGGATGAAGGATTGGAATAAAGAAAGGAAGGTACTTTTTCAGCTGGCTCTGTATGAATTCAAAGAATTCGAAATGTAATGAATTTGAGATGTTTGAATGTCGATTATATCACAATGAATTTGATTCCAAATGGCCTGAATTGGCATGCATGTTACAATTGCCTAAAGATGACAGCTGTTTGGCCGTCTACAAATGAAACTTAATTAATTTAGTCTAATTCAATTAAAGAGAGAGATCAATTTAAAGGTTTTTAATGACAATTGTTGTTTTACTGGTTACATGTCCAACTCCTATTAGTTGTCATAAGATTTGTGTAGAAATCTAAAGAATGACTGGGTGACGGGCCTTAGACTTTTAGGATTATATATTTTTTTCTGTTTTAGAAACCCCTTTTATTCCCTTAGAGGGTTGGAGAGATTGGATTATGTTTGGATTTCTGGATAGATTTACAAATCAGTGCAAATTCCAAAATAATTTCTCCTACTACAGATGCATGTATCAGCCATCATTTTTGCATGAGTACAATTTAATTAATATGTTTATATGAATGTAATAAATAAATACGTTTGCATTACAATAACTTTTCATTTTATCCTACATATTTTTAGCATTTTGGTTATTAAAATAAAATCCCTTTGGCTCAAAGTTCTAACAGAATTCATAAATGAAGCATAGAAGAACTAGCTCAGTTGGTGCCTTTCTTCTTTCTTATTTCTGCCAAATAAAAATAAATTAAGTTTTACTGCACAAATCCAGTATAAAAAATAAAATAACTTCTCAGCTCGATCTAGTGTTGTACTGTGTAGTCTTAGTTATACTAAGTGGCTTGAAGGACAACTTTGTCCTGCTACCACTACCTCAATTCGTCATCCTTGCTTGCTCTGCCAATCTTCAGATTCTCATCTATTTATTTTTTCACCCAATTACTAGATTTACTGACCCTGTCTTTTAAACTTCTCGGCTAAATCCCATTTACAAAGTACTTGAAAAAATAACAAGGGCATATTTTGGACTAACAAAATAGAATGTACAATATGTGAAACATAAATGACTATAGTTTTGTTGAACTAGAAACATTATTATTGAAAATCGCATGATTTAGTACCTCTACGTTGACCAAATATAATTCTTAGTTTTTTTTTTTGTCTACTATAAACCCGGTTAGAAGAGGAATATATCTGGCCCAATACTAATTTTCTTTATAAATAAATCAAGTGATCTTCCAGTTTAACGATAACCAACCCTGAGCTATAATCATCTTTTGTCCTTAACTCCCCTGGTACTTGTTTTTCAGCTGTTTTTCATCTGACAAACAACCCGAGAAACCAAAGTTCACCACTGCGAGTTCCACCTGGGAGGTTTTTATGACGAGCGGTCAACGGCATTTTGATAAGTAATTAATTTCCAGCCACTGTTCCAATGACAAACTTAATTAAATCATTCTGCCTCAGCAGGACATGTAGAAACCCCAAATTATTCACAATCTCAAGCACTCATCACTTCTTCAGACAAATTGGGAGCAGATTGAAAAGCGAGTTGCACATTTGTACAGCCAACTTAGTATCGGAGAAGCTTACTGGTTACCAGTGTCTGTTTCTAGGCAACACTAATGCAACCACATAGCTAATAATGATTGGTGGGAAAAAAAAATCAATACTGCCTGTAGCTCATATAATCTTCCTGGGAAGAGAACTGTCTCCAATGAGTTTAATGGTGAACATTTTGAAGGTAAATCCATCACAAATCCTTTGAGGAAGTTAGCACAGTCCACCATTTTAGTGACTATAACGTGGAAACCAGCAACAACAAATCCAAGAAACAAAAATTCCTCAAAATCTCCCTGTTGTGGCTTTCTTCATACTCAATGTTCACCCACAGGGGATAATCAGTAAATGCAGGGGTGGAATCAAATAATAAAAAAAGAAATCCTACAGTGTGAATCTATAAACTCTTTCAGTGTGTGTGAGTCTGTGTATGTGGGGTAGTGTCCTTTTAAACTTTGGTTACAGCTCTCTTCACCCCCCAAGGACGCAGTAAACACTTGTTTTATTATAATTTGAATATCAACTCTCTCACGCTGAGGGAGGATAAGTGATTATCATTAATTATAATAAATGTGCCTGTCAGGACGGCAATTATTTTGTTGCCACACAAATTGGTCGTTCAAATAATGGTGGCAGTGAAATGCAGCGGCGTGGTGACTCATTAGTTTTTCAAACAATCAAAGCCAAGAAAGTGAATTGTTTCGTTCATTCAAAACTCAAATGCTTGCGTGTGTCCAAGACAACTTTGTTCATGGCTGTCATTTGATTTCTCTTTTGGATTGTTAAATGGCTCTCTGTACATAGTGACTGTTGGACATAAATAAATCTTTTAAAAACTCCAAGAGTTGAAAACCTTTTTTTTACTACTTATGAGACTTTCCAGACACACCCATAATGGAAAATAATATAAAACACTATTAAAAATTTTACTTTCAGTAGATGTTTCATGTATTGTGCATCATATAAAAAATTTAAAGAATGTATGATTTACTCCTGAAAATTGCCACTTTTACATTGCTGTCATATATTGTTCTAATAAATACGCAATTTATACAAGTTTCATTTTGCTCAAATTTACTATGGATCCTATATCTGTTTTCACTGTTGTATGCTTTACATACAAGTTTCAGACAAAAGATCTATCTAATTCTTCTCCATATGGGCAGTCTTGGTATTTGAATGTATTTAGCTTGATTCATGCTGCACCATCTTTTCCTCATAAGTCATAATCTTACATTTCACAAGTCTATATTTCCTTGTTTAGTGTTAGTCAGTGTATACCCAATTGTGAAAGTGACAGGAAGTGTCTCACTTTCGTTCCTAATAAAATGACTGTACATTATACAGTTCAAAATGTTTAATAAGGAACAACGACCATTTAAAAGTCAATCCAAACAGTTACAATTTATCAAAACAGATTACTTTTTTTTTAAAGCTCTTAGGTTAAATTCAGATAGCAACATCAGAGTACTTTACAAATAAACCAATGCTGTTGGTGATACTTGTTTGTCAGAAGCCGCACAGCAGTTCAGCTCTCAACATTTTGAATCTTAAAGAAAAACTGAAAAACATCACCTGAAGTAGGAAGAAGTTTGACCCCTGGTTGATGTGGCAATCTTGGTTTAAGATTAAAAGAAAAATTCCTGTATTTGCAGCAGAGTCAGACTGTTCATAAAGGACATCCACCCACTCTCAGGGGAAAAGTCATTGGATAAACTCAATTTCTGCAGAGAAGTGACACGTCCCCTTCTTTTCAGAACTGTTACTTAACATTAAATGGCTGAAGATCTTTCAAATCTATCGAATTATATCTACTTACTTTTATATTTATAATATTTAATGGCACTGACTAGAGGACTTTCATCATTTTCTGTATAGTTTGTATGAATAATTACCATTTTGTCTCATGAAATTCAAGAAAATTCATGATTATTTTAGTTTTTGATTTTGTATTGGCATCATCTTTAACGCACCAACGTCTACATGTGTATCACCCACCTCTCCAGAGAAGGCCTGTCCATTCAGAAGGTGTTCAGAGCCCTGACCGTCCTCGCTTCCGAAGTGTAGCCGTATTTCCTCCAGACGATGGCTGTATGTCATCGGGCCCCCAGAGATGTTAACTAGATGCTCTTTGTCCAATCGCAGGGAGACGTGGCGCCCAGTATTGTACATGGTCCCTCCCACCTGGAAAAAAAACAGACAGGTCAAGATGATTGATGTTAAAGTTTTTTTTTTTCCAGTGAGTTTATTAACCCTATAATGCCAAATGTATCATATATGATACATACGGTTTCTGAAATGTTTTACCTCTGACACCTTTTGCTTAATTTATTGGTAAAAACTTTGCTCAAAATCCTGTTGTACACAATCAGATACACCTGATAACAGGGGGCAGAAGACTACACAAAAAATAATCTTGACTAGTAATATATTATTAATATTAAAAAAGTATTTTTTCTTTCTTTTTACATATTTTGTTAAAAAGTCAAATAAGGAATTCAAACAAAAAAAAAGTAATTTTCTGTTTTGTTTTATTCTTGGATCGGGCTTTAAAGGGTTAAAATACAAATCCTGCTTTGGGCAATGGAACCAAATGCCGTCCCGGGGCACATTTTCTCAGATTGAACGGTTATATTTGTAATATCATGTGTGACTTACTGAGGAATATATAACAAATGACGTTGAATGTATATTTAAATTGAGTACGAATGGACAAGGGTTTCTATTACCTGTCACGTCTGGGGGAATGTCTGGTGTCTCGTCATGTGTTGATTACATATTGTGTACACCTGGGGTTCCCCTCCCTCATGTGTTTAAATAGTCCTCGTTTCCCATGTCCTGTGCCAGTTCGTTTGCGTCTTTCGTCTCCCCACGTCATGTAAGGGTTTGATTATTTCCCATAGCCATGTTTTGCCACAGCCTTGCCACAGTTTTGTTAGTCTTTATTTTGTTACTTTGCCATAGCCTTGTTTGACCACTGCCATGTTAATCTTGTTCGTATCAAAACAAGACTGTGGCAAAAGTACAGTTTTGTTAACCTTGCTTTGTTACTTTGCTCAAAGTTTTGCCACAGCCCTGTTTTTGAACCTGTTTTTTGTTACAATAAACCCTGTTTTCTGCATCTCCGCGCCTGAGTCCTCCATCAAGATCCGTCCTTGACATTACCACTGTTATCCTGTTTTTTATACATTTAGTTTTCTATGTGGAGCTTGTTTTTTCACTCTGTATCTTTAACAGAGGGCTTCCTGGTGGTGTGGTGGTTAGGACAGTTGCCCTATAGCAAAAGTGTTCATGGTTTGAATCCTTGATGGGCAGGGAGCCTTTTTTCTTTGGAGTATGCATGTTATTACTGTAGAAGCATGGGCTCTCTGGGTACTTTGGCTTTCTCCCCCAACCAAAATAGCAAATGTATGCATGTACGTATGAATATTCAATGGACAGCTGTTTCTGTTTTTTTTGTAAATGGTGCTGTGTTGATTTGATATTTATTCAATGAAACCAGCAAGGGAAAAAGTGTTTATGTGTACTTAGTTCTAGATGCTGAATGGACAATGGGGCATTTTCATATGTCCCTTTCACATTTTTCACATGATGCACTTGAATAAAAGCTTTTATATTGTTACATTTTGAATATATGTATGTAGATACATTCAGAGTTATACTGTATATAGTTTTATCGGTGCTCCATTTGTTTTCATGAAAACAAAGTGATTTGCCGTTTGATCCTGAAAGTAAACCCTTCAAGTATAAAATCTGGCTGAGAGTTACCGTGCGCACCACATTATCGCGCATAAATATTTACGTCGTATATCGGGAGATTCATTTTTGATCTTGTTTCTAGTCCTTTCAAATCGGAGTCCAACTGGAAGCACATCAAAAGCAAACTCATAAATGTAGCAAATCAAATTTGAACCACACAGTCTCGATGTGAACACCCATGGAGGGTTTATGAAATGAACAAGCTGAAACTGTAAGATGATGCTCTTTTGATCGTATATATATATATCAAAAGGGCTGCCAATGGTGGTAGTGCAGTAGAAGTCTAAACTAAAAAGGAAATAGAAACAGGAAACAGGTAACAGGAAAAGTGTTTGTAAATGATTTGTTGAAAAAACAAAAAGTTGACATCTTGCATTCTTAATAAAATGTTAATTTTACATGTGTGACATTTGCAGTTGTGGCATCGGAATTCTGATAAGTCACATAAGTGATCTTTATGAAATGAAAATCACTTAATTCTTGGTAATGAACAAAACCTACCCCTAAAATGCACTTTAGGGGATTTTCCTTTGATGTTTTTATACTGGAAGGACATTGTCACTCATCCAGACAGTAGAATTTAATCACAACGAACAAGTGACATGAAATATTTGGATCTAACAGAAAAAACCCCCAGATCTGTTTAATATTTTACGTTGAGTTTTTTACTTTGCACTTGTAAAAGTATCAATTATGGCTTTTGATGACGGTTGAAAAAAATATATTCAACTTTTACTTTTTTCATTTCCACTTACATGAAAAAAAAGATACTGTCATGCCTTGAGACATAAATTGCACAATTTTTATTAAAGAGTTTGAATATACTTCTGTTTGAACGATTGGTTTTGCATGGCATGTACCTTATGCCGTGAACTACTGAAACTACACAGAAAAACATTACCACCAAACCAGACAACAGACCATCTGTCTATTCAAATGTGTGAAATTGGAATAGACAGAGCCTGCAAGAGTGTGTTAAAGAGATGACTCATTTCTTCCGTTAAAAAGGACTTTCTTTCCTGTTGAACTCTTCTTTCAGGTTTAAGCTTCTAGAGGTAATGTTGTCTCCCATTATCTGATGACACAGAAGTGCTTTCATTCCATCACTGGTCTCATCTCATTGACAGCGCTTGCTCAGGAAGTCTCCAAATGGCTAAGCCAGTGAGCAAATGAAAAAATAGAAAGGGATCATAAAAGGCTGAAATTATCAGAAATAAACTCACAATCAATACATCGCGAGGGGGAAATGTGATATTCATCGGTACAGTAGCTGTGATTATTTATTCATGATCTTCAGCTGTTTGAAGGTGAAACATTGATATTCAAGCCACAACTTCAGGTGGACTTCTAACGCCCTTATCTGCTTCTTTCTATCCCTTTCCCCCTCTCCTGTTCCTTCAATCCTTTTACCACAGCCGGGCTGTAAAAAATGATCACTCCCTCTCTCGTCTAAACTCCCAGGGAAAGAAGTCTGCCAACACTGTGTAAATATTTTATAGATGCTCTGAGAAATCAATGATTTGAAAGGAGTAAGAGGGAGAAAAGAGTGATGCAAAGAAAAGATAAGTACTGTGAGCAGAGGAGAGAGGTGTGCAGAATTTAGTGGCTGACAAGGGAAAAAGTAGTAAAGAGCAAGGCTTTTATGTTCCCCGGTACAGGGACAAGGATCTGGTGAGATTCCTTGAAAAGGCCAGAAAATGTTTATCAAAGCCTCATTTTTTTAAATATTTATTTGTTTTGTATCCTGGATCATCAGTGATAAAGAAATGTCCAGGATGTTGGTAATGAAGGACTCCTACAGAAGTCCAAATCGATGCGTTATTTTTGCTGATCTAATATGCTTTCATATACTGGATTAATATTAAGTAAACGGGTCTAGTTAACACAGAATACAAATTAAGGGAAGCATGATTACATTCTTACAACAACGATTAATAAACAGGTTTAAAATCAAGGTTTTGACCAGCTAACGACCTCAGAGACATGTTGGTAAGCACTGCTCATTGTATATAGGGACTATGGGGATCAAGTAATGAGGCGGTATTAGAAGTTAAATGATTGAATTTAGCGAATTATTCACTGAGCGTGGTCCAATTTTTTATTATACAAGCTTCTGGTGTTTATTTCTAATTCAAATCTAGCTAGTGGCCGCTGTGAATAGGGCAGATGACAACAGGGGAAAGACCATGTGACCGTTTGGCAAAACAGCTGACGGGAGGCAAAGACTACTATGTGCTACTATGGGCTGGCGTTCCATGGTAGCAAGATCTAGCGCCTTTGTTACAACAAGCATGAGCTATTACTAAAATCAGGAGAATACTACGGGGGTCAGTCAGAGCAGGGGCGGACGATGACTCACAGGCACATGACTGTGAGTTGGAGATTCAGTGAAGGGTAGGAGCATGGACCCATTCTCTAGGGATAGATTTGGGCTGAGGAGTTCTCGGGGCAACGTGAGCGTAACTGTAGAGAATGAAAGTGGTAGGCGTGAGGGAAATGAACTCTGGGTTTGTCCTTGTGGCAGGCTGAGGGTGACGTCAGTTAGAGGCCTTAAAACGCTGCGGGGGAAGAAAGGGGTATGTTTTAAGAAAAGAGTAGTGTGGCCACATCAATCAATACTATTTAATTCAATTCAATTTTATTTATATAGCGCCACATCACAAAAAGAGTTGTCTCACAGCGCTTTCCAAACAGAGCAGGTCAGACCCTACTCTGAAGTTAACTACAGAAACCCAACAATTCCCACCATGAGCAAGCACTAGGCGACACAGGCAAGGAAAAACTTCCTTTTAACAGGCAGAAACCTTGAGCAGAACCATGGCTCAGGGTGGGCGGCCATCTGCCTCGGCCGGTTGGAGGTGTGAGAGAGAGAGGGCAAGAGAGATAGAGAAGGACAGAGGGAGCAGAGAGAGGCAGCCAACACAGCAACACATAGACTGGATGAAAAATGGCAATGATATTATTACTAGGGGTGGGACGGTTCACAAAATCCACGGTTCGGTTCGATTCACGGTTTCGTGGTCACGGTTTTCGGTTCGGTTCGGTATATGTTGATTGTTAGGAAAATCTATTATGTCTTGTATAGTCAGGTTAAAACTGAAAGAAAAAAGCAGTCTGACATTTGATACATTATTGTGACAGTCTGAGGTTAAAAGTAGGTGAGATTCTGGCATTGCAAGCAAGAAAACAGTGCTAATTCCAAAATGTGCTTCCCTCTAAATGCAAAGTGGTCCCATACAGCAAACCTGTAAAGTGCTGTTGGCGCGTCGGATTTTCATCGGCTATGCTGCTTGGCTTCTTCTTCTTGTTTACTACTGGTGGTTGGCTTTGGGCGCAGTAGCGCCACCTTCTGCTCTGGAGTGAACACGCTTCCCTCTGAGAAAAAGGAGCAGCGCATGAACCGAACGCAACACACGCGAACCGAA